GGAAAAGGAGGCTGTTGAGGTTGGTAAGGCTGGTTTGAGTATTGAAAAGGAGACTGTTGAGGTTGGTAAGGCTGATTTGAGCAAGGAAAAGGAGATTGATGCATAGTAGAAGGATTAGAACTTGAAATTGTATAGGCTGGATTGTATCTGTGATAGCACACAATGGCACTGTGACCATTTTTACCACAGACTTGACAAGTTGTAGAGCTTCTACCACCTGTACGACCACCTCTGCCTCTATTAAAACCTCCACGACCTCTTCCTCTATAGGATGAATTGTCTGCAGAAGTGTCAAACTGAGCAATTTGAGCTGAGGCATTCTCTGAAGTATTCTGAGTTTCAGTTTCAATAGTAGGGGAGGTAGTTTCAACTCGCGCAACATTAGCAGAAAATATTGTTTGCTGTGAGGAGTCACGTAGTTTTCTCAGTCGTAATTCGTTAGCCAACAGAAGGCCCTCAAGTTCAGACAAAGTAACTGGATCTAAAATACTTTGCGAGGTGACAGAAGATATTAATGATTCATAATCCTCAGGAAGACCTTCAAGGATCACATTGATGTGATCCTTGGTGGATATAGGCTCTCCGACAGATGTTAGATTATCCACAATGGTCTGAATGCGAAGCAGATATTCGGAAATAGAGCGATCACCTTTTCCGGTGTTATACAGCTCCGATTTCAGCTGACGAGCTCGCGCGATGATGCTGGAGCGGAAGAATTGCTGAATTTTACTCCATAACTCATGTGAGTGCTTGCAGCAGATGACGCGAGCATGAAGTGACTCAGAAAGCGAAGCTAAGAGCCAGGAAAACAACATCTGGTCTTGTTGCTCCCATGTGTTGTACGCTTCGTTAACAGTTTTTGTTCCATTTTCATCAACAACAAAACGATCTGGTATTTGAGGATTTTCTATGAATCTGAGAAGCTTATGAGCTCGAATTACTGATTCGACATGGTGTCGCCAGAACAGGAAATTGTTTGAATCGAGTTTAACAGGTAGAGGATGATGAAAGATGATAGGCGAGGTTTGACTGGCAATCTGAGAAGTTGATTGCGAAGAAGAAGAATTTGACTCGGAGTTCGCCATGGTTGATCGAGCAGAGCTCTGATACCATATTAGAAATAGAGCAAGGTAGAAGAAAGAAGTGAAATCATCTTATTCAGAAATAGAAAGTGTACAGAGTATTTATAGAAGCTATGATTGTAACTAACTGTAGCTAATATAACAGAAGCCCAACTAACATTAATTACAAAGCAATGTACGTGTAGCTTTTATATACTATTCCTAACATATATACTTACATACGTATTTAACTAATTTACGTAATTTTAACCCTATATTTTAAAATTAATAACATATGTATTGCCAATATTATATTTAATAATATACTTACATATATATGTATTTAACTAATTTACATATTTAACTAATTTACATATTTAACTAATTTACGTAATTTTAATTAATTAAATATAACTTAATTAACCCTATATGTTTAAATTACACCTACGTTTAACGTAACTAAATTTAAGGAATTTATTTCGTTAATTAATAATTAAGTATTAATTTAACTAATGTAGTAGCTAAAATGAACCAACTAAATCATACAAAAAATACGTAATTCAAATTACATACCTTGTCTGCATAAACAGGAAAAATGATATGAGATGGGTAGATTACATCCTTCAATTCTATCTGTAATTCTATCTAGAGTAGATGGTGTGATTTTGTTGAATGAAGCGGAGGCAGCATATATAAAACTTGTAGTCACGGACTTAGTCACGGATGTGTCCGTGACTACACATTTTCGGTACGATTTGTCAGAGCACTTTAAATTTGGAACGTTGAAAAAATCAATTTTGCACTTGTCACGGAATTAGTCACGGATACGTCCGTGACTAACCGTAGTCACGGCACTAGTCACGGAACCATCCGTGACTAATTTCAAATTTAAAAAAAATCCCGCCGGAGGCGAAATTGGGTTGGTCGGAACACTTTAGTCACGGACTACATCCGTGACTAACTATAGTCACGGACGTAGTCATGGCCAAATCCGTGACTATTTTTTTTTAAACGTTCCGTGACTAAACCGTGATTAGAACCGTGACTAACTAGTCACGGACCAAATCCGTGACTACGGTCTGTGACTACAAGCGAATTTTTTTGTAGTGTTAGTTCCAAAAGACTTTGTGATCGACTAACATGAATCGATACTTGATATCGCAACCAAAAGGAAAAGAAAGATAAGAATCATAAGTTGTGATAAAAAAAAGATAAAATATAGAAAAGGAGATATAAATCTAAAAATGATAGACTAAAAAGAAAAAAAGGAATATATATATATAAATCTAAAAAATACATATAAAAAAAGAGAAAGAAAAAGAAGATGAGGAGGAAAAGATTATAAGAGATTACTCCTCCACACGAATACCCGCCCTCCACTTACTTTCTCTAAAGCGAGACCCTCATCTAACCCAAAAAGAATCATATCACTTCTAACTTCTCTAATCCATGTGTGGTTGGGTCTTCTCATCCCTCTCTTCCCCACCCGTTCTTCACACATCTCAACTCGTCTGATAAGTGCTTTACCCGATCTTCTATGCACATTACCTTTTGTCTGATTGTCTTATTCCTCAAACGATCCTTTATAGTATTAGGAAATAATTAGCACTCTCAAATAAAAATTTAATAATCAAAATATTAAAAATAATACATTTATAACATTGCAATTATCATCAAATCCCAGTAAATATATATACCCATGTCATCAAAACTATCCAATAATTACTTTATATAATTATTGTCTAAATAATCGTGTAATTTTGTAATGAAAACCTTTAGTCGAGACACAGGTAGTTAGTATGACACAAACTTAGTGAGATAAATGAAAAATGGAAAAAAAGTGATAATGAAACAGGAGGGAGAGATTAATAACTAGAATTATTGGAAAAGTATGAACGAGATGGTGGAAAAGTATGAAAACTTGTTAAGATGGGAAAGAAGTTAAAAAGGAAACGTATGATCTAGATCAGATAAATTGTAATATTAGTAGGAAAGGAAGTATAAATAACTAGATTAATCCTTTCCAAACATGGATATGAGAAATAATTAACAAAAGAAGGATATACTTAGGCTATGTTTGGCAGGCATAAGTCTTTACATTCTAGCTTTTGTACTGTTCAAAAAGTCTCTAAAAGCTTCTAGTTATATGTTTGGCATGATAATTTTTAAGAGCTTTTCAAAAACTAAAAGTTCTTTTTTGAGATGCTACAAGGAGTAACATCTGAAAAAACCCTGTGATTTTTAGTATTAATTAGTCCTAACAGCTTGTATACCAAAACCGAACTAAATGAAACAAGCAGTTTTTTACCAAACAGCTACCACCTTTTCTCTTTAATAGCTTTTCAGTCACTAAAAGCTAACGGTTATTAAAAAGCCCATAAAAGCATCTTTTAAGCTAGTTGTGCCACATGATAAAAGCATCTTTTAAGCTAGTTATTAAAAAGCCCACATGATAAAATTTTGTTTATGGACGTCGTCTAATTTTCTATCATGTAGCACTATTTTTTATTTAGGTATGGATGTTTTGCTTTCTACATTTTATTTTAGGTAGATTCTATGGTAATCATAAGGTACCATACCTTTGTCCACATGGACCAATGAGAATGTAGCAGTTGAATTATTTAAATCTAAATTAAAAATGATAAAGTGGTGTGGTCCAATCAAATGAATGGTAGGTACGATACCCCATTTTTTAGAAAGGTACTTGTCACCTTTATTTTATAGTTCGTATTATTTAATGTGTAGGCTGTTGACTTGTTGTACTGCACGTATCACATTATTTACTATATCCCGTATTTTTTAATTTGTACTATTTTGTTGTGACGTTTATTTTCTATTTAGCTTGGGAATGTTAAGTTACTACTTATGTAGTAACATTGATAGTGTCACAAGACTCGAAACTAGTTAATTTTGACATAGATCAGAGCTATGATGGGAGGAAATGAGAATCCGGAGTTCCGGACCGAAACTCGGATGGGTATTGTTTCAAAAGAAACGGATAAGGTTCAATTAATATTATAAGTCTTGATATACATACAAATATACAATGCCCAAATGTAGTGGCTAAATAGAGCACGTGATTCTTAGAGCCCATTTGGTAACTCTGTTTTTGGACTTATTAGGGTTATCAGACAATTTTTTAATCAAACACGTAACTTTTTATTTCGCGCATTGAATTGTGTAATAATAAGAAAAATAATATTGAAGTTACTTTTCTGTCGGTATTGGGTGAAATTACTACAAATGATCATTTTAATTTTTTTTCATATAATTTGATCAATTTTTGAATAATACAGAGTATGGGACTTCATATGGTTGCATCTCATTCCTTCAGAAGTTTTTGAACGGTGAAACGCGCGCATGCACTAATTTTTCTCAAAATCGAGCTGAGATGCTTGGATAGGGCATAAATGTATTAGGTTAGTATATAGTACATGAAATTGTTTTAAATAAGAGTAAACATGTTTAGAAATTTCCAAAAACATGACTGCTGTGTTTTTTTTGAAATATGACTCGTTACTACCATGATTGAAAAATATTAACATGATGAAAAAATCGTCATTAATAATAGTAAATATTATCATGTTAAATGTTGGTACTATTTGACAATAATGACTACAAGTTGAGAGTAAATATTCCAATATAATGTTACTTCTAGCTATTTCGAAAAGAAAAACATAATAATCATATTTTGGAATTTCAAAATCCGTTTACTTGTATTTTGAAAACTTTCCCTATAACACAACCGAGCATAGAATTTGATTATGATCTTGGGGACATATAACAAAATCCGTTTGATATGTCTTTTGTTGGTTTTTATTTTTTAACTAACTTTTTAATGAAAACCATGACAAAATGTTTTTAATTTTTCTGTTCACATGTTTTTAAATTAACATGAATATGTACTCAAAAACGAAAAAAAAATGGTTAACATGCAATGCGCGTCTCCATAATAATTACTACGTATGACTTACATGTATACTGTATAAAATAATTAAAATATTACAAGACGAGTGTTTTGACCAATTAAATTAAATTACATAATAACGATACTAAAACAAAAGTAAATTAAAGCTATATGTAGGTGTGTCATGTGTGTGCGAGTAAGGGATACATATTTAATATTTTATGCATGCTTAATTATTATATATTTCTATGTTTATAACAGTAACAATAATTTAATCCTATCATATGCTGTTTGCGTTAATGAAACTGAAGATTTGCTGGACTGAATTCGCTAAATCTTCCGCTGTGTACATTGTTTCATCATTTGAAATCTGCACAAAACATTTACCAAACAAACAATTAACAATTCGTATAGTCACAAAAAAAAAACAATAATGTATGTGACTTTATTATTTGAATTATCTCTTAATACTGATGTCGTTTTTTTTCACTCTTCCAGGCGAGTTCCAGCCATGGTTAAAAATATGGTGTATATATTGGTATTAAGGCATTTTAGCTTGTTTTATAGATATAGTGATAGATATATATGATCCATATTGCCAAAATAAAAAATGTCAAAATTTACTCTAAAAAGATCAAAATTTCAATAAACTTTAATACTGTATGAATTCGACTTTCAAAGTGTAACAATAATTTTGATAAATCTAATAAAGCTTATAGCAATATCACCTGCATGGATTACTGTGATGATTTTTTCTTGAATTATTGTTGTTACTATTATTTGTTTAAAAAAGCCTGAATAAGTACTTGCCTTAACATTGAAGGAATAGAGTACGGTTTGCTCAATTGTGGTAATATTGGTGAGAAGAATATTGAGGTGCAAATCTTCAAGTGCAGCAATAACTTTAATCAGCTGGCCAGGCCTTCTCCTACACAATATCTTTATGATTCCATCAGACCCAAGAAGCTTCACTTCCACATCTGCCAAACACGACTTGCTCCCCGCCGTGTCCTCGCATATTCCGGCCACCTCGTACTCGTTCGCCGGAACGGGAAATAGTGGTGGCTGTGATGTCGTCGACGAGTCTCCGATCACCGGTGCCGAACCCGCGTCACCGTAGAGCCTCCTTCTCTTTTGTGACTCGAGGCATTCCAATAGTTGCTCTAGTTCTCTCACGAAATCTATTGCTCCCCCTATTATTGAAGCTTGATCTCCCTATATGCATAACAAACAATGAAGTAAACCAAATTGTTTTAATTAACTATATCATGTTTAATTATATTCATATACGCACAAAACTTCACAAATTATCATAGAATGATGAATGTGCATGTGTTTATCATAGAATGATGAGGACTAATATATCTTTTTAGTGACTATGATTATATTCAAATCAGACGATAAAAATACCCGTCAAGTCATTTCAGTCATATTTGTATTCATATGTTCTATTTTAATAATATCTTAGGAAAATTAAACCTCATATGTTAAAAAATATACTTCGATAAACAACAATAGACAACACTCCCATTCCATTCGAATAATTGTGCATAGACAAATTTTCTAAAATAGAGGTACAACTAATGTGAAATTTTAAAATATGAGAACTATATTTTCCTAAGTATGAGTTAATTACTTTCATTATGAAATGATACCGTGTTTGATCTATGACATTATGAGTCATTAATATGTGAGTTAAAAAGTCTTTGAGAAAAAAAAATCATGCTCTTGTTTTGGAACTTCGTATTGTTTTTAGAGAAAAATGATCGAAATAGGACTAAAAGGTTTTGAGAAATTCCAAAATATGAGTATATTATTATTGTTATATTTGAAATTTACAGCTAATAATGTATACTGTCATAAGTGTCGATACTCTTTCAACTTGACAATAATTACTCTTATTTAGTACAATACTGCTATTTTGAAATTCTCAAACATACTAGGATAATTTCTTTTATTTTGAATATGATTATTATATTTTAGTTGTTTTTTACAAGTTAATGCGTTGACCCTTGTGATAGCCAAATAAAGTAGGACCAAAATAACGTACCCTTTGGACGTATGTGCTGGGCATGAGAGACCTCAAGACACGAAGATGTTCATTCATTTGCTTCCTACGATTTCTTTCCACGGCTATGTGTGTCATTCTTTGGCTTTCTACTTCCTGGCTACTCTTGATTCTTACCCTCTTCCTCTTACCCTTTATATTCTTATTCTTATTATTGGTAATATTATTATTGGCACTAGTCCCTTCTAGGCTACCACCTGCCGCCACCGCATGCGGCGGAACCTCGTACTTTTCAAGGCTGTCTCCTGGAAACCTCACCTGAACGGTGGCGGCGCAATCCTTTTCTCCGTCGCTCAATATAATAATGCCTTCGGACCGGTCTTCGTCTGCTTGAACCGTCTCATTCAAGACCGGGAACTTGAGGAAGTAGACCGGGTCCAGCCCGCTCTCGTCCTCAGTTGCCCCGGTCTCGTTTAGGGTTAGTTTGGGTCCGAAATCGGCGAACTGCATGACGTCAGTGAAGTTCAGCTTGTCGAATGACGTTGACCCAGTGCTGAAAAATCCCGACGGTGTAAGATGTGGGTTGACCATGGGATTGACTTCATCACAACATGAAGAGGAAGGTTGACCAACAAAAGTATTTCCCGTTGACTTATTATTCATATGGTCAAGGGAATACTCCAAAGTCGGTGGCAAGGAAGCCTGTAAGAGTTCATGTTCAAAGAAAAACAACATGGTGACTTGAGAAAGAAAGATTATTGTATTAAAAACAACGCAATTTTACAACATGTAATATATATGCTTAAAAGTTGTATCTTTCTTGTATATATATATATATATATACCGTGTAATAATTTTCTTGGTTCATTTTATAATGAACGATCCCAGAAACCGTTTGACTTCTTGAATGATTTGTGGACAATCCTTGATGGGATTAGGGGGCCACCCTACATGGAAAACAGACAAAAACTTTTAAGCATAATTGACAAAAGATCTGTCTATAGAGCCAATTATATTATCACGCACGTACAATTATTATTAATAGGAAATTACACGACAAAATTCACAAATAAATTTAGTAATTTTTTTCCATGTATTTACTTTTAAGACATTTTTTTTACTACGTAGTACTATTGGAAAAACAATTATCTTTAGATAAATTTCTCCACTTAGCTTATTCAATAACAAATAATAATACACTTATACGTAATATTTTAAATAAATGATTGCGCAAAATTGTACATAATGATCATAAATTAAAATTCAAGTATGTATACTATATACGTAGTATATAGTACTCCGTAATAATCCGTAGTAAACGGATACTAAATACGATAGTACTAAGTATAAGCGTACTTTATACGAAGTAGTACGGAGTAGTATGTAGACTAGCAGCTAATTAACTAACCTGTGTACCTGAGAAGATCAGATTGAATGAAATATCAGATCCATGTATATAATTATATATATATGTGCGTGTATATATGTATATATAGGAGAGAGAGGAGCCTGGTGGGGCATTATATTGGAAAATAAAAATAGTGTATCTGCATGAGGTGCTTAATTATAACTTTTCACCACCTGAATATTAATTGGAATCACAGGGTGAACCAACTTTACCACCTCTTTTCATGACTCTCTAATAAATACTTTAGCGCTGATCTGTTTAACAGAAAAGCAAGTGTGAATTTAGTTTGACAAGGTTTTTAGAAAAAGAGTGTGTTTGTTGACATCTGTTTTCGAGTCGTTAGATTTATCGATCAACTTTTTTATTAAATACGTAACTTTGATTTCGCACACTGAATTGTGTCATGGTAGTACTACGTAATTAAAATAATTGAAGTTGTTGTTAGTTATTTTTCTCGTTGAATTGGCTGAAATTACCGTAAAGAATGATTTTATCTATTTTTCATATATTTTTTCTTTATTCAATTAGTAGATTATCTTTATTCAAATTCTGTTGTTTCAATCAGAACTTAATAGATTTCAACAGGGTTAGCTGATTCAGCCAATTTTAATGTTACAAAATAGGCTCAATGCAAATTTATTGTATGTATGTGTGTATATTCTTAGCTAGGGAAGTACGTAGGCAGAATTGGAGCTGAGGAGCCACATGCATTTCATCCAAATCATGCATGCATCTGACCCATTGATCATCTAGCTATTTTAATTTCTATTCTATTTAATTACTCGGTATATCATGCACATATATATATAACCAATGTGTGCTTTGTGCATGTTTGTGGATGAATTAATTTAAAAATGAGTAATACCAAAGATTTCGTGTTCACATATTGATGACTTACCCGAACCTAGTTAGGGTAGGTGGTAAATCGAGTAGGAGAGACTCAAAAATGCTAAGTATAGATTGAACAGAATATTTGTCAGAGTAACACTAAGTCAGTAAGCCACAACACAAGAATGGCGGTCCCTTTGCATAAATTGGAAGGTGATATTTATAATGTAAAAACTGAAATATAATACTTGGACAACAATTAAAAAGATGTTAACCTAATAATATGGCGACATATATAAAGCTTGTTTGGCAAGAGAGTGGAGACAACTAGCTGATTGATACTATGTGTAACAGATTTAATTCCTTTTGTATTGGACTGCGTAAGAAAGCCACACATGTAAGTCTATAACCTTTTGTGTGTAACCGCCTGGGTGACGTAAGCCCTAGATCAGACAGTTGTCACTTCAATGTCGTTATTACAGTTCCCTATGTATGCTGAACTTGGGTATTGGAAATAGCTAAGTCCACAATCTTTCCCAAGGCCGCGAGCTCTGCGGAACTTGTATTCCGGGGAAATGCATTCATGTAAGAAGAGGGTGACCTCAGTTTGCTCATGTGAAGAAATAAGTGCTCCGTTAAGTTATTTGACTTTGTGGGGCACAAGCTGGCTTTAAGCTCGGTTATTGTGCTGGAATTTGATATTCACCTCCGTGAGTGGCGAGCTTCGGCTCGGCTGCAGTTTTGGACATTTATTGACAATCTGAGAATTGATTTGGGAACCAACGTCGGCGGATGCGGGCTCAGGCTCGGCTATAGTTTTGGACTTATCTTGATGATTTGAGAGCTGATTTGGGGACTAACCTCAACGAGTGCAGGGTTAGCCTTGGAGGTAACTTTCGTCTTAGAGTTTTTTGCAGATCACATATATTTTTTATTCTTTTTTATTAAGATTCTAAAGTTTAAAAAAATCTGAGTCGGCGGGCTATTAAAGAGTTATAATGGGGTGCTAAAATGCAACGTATCATAATTCTTTTTTGTTATACATTGCCAGGGTCGGTCATTTATGTTTGAAGGCTTAGGGCAGGAGAAATAAAATGGACTTAATATATATTAACAAAATTGTAAACCTTTATTTGTCTAAACTAACATTCTTTTTGTCTAAACTGACATGCATAATAATAATAATTAATAACCATTCAATAATAATAATAATCATAATAACAATAATAATTATTATAATAATAATTAGAGTAGTAACAGCAATAACAACAATAATAACAATAACAATAATAATAATAATAATAATAATAATAATAATTATATTAATAATTGTTGAGGTTTAAAGGAATCGTAGGCCCAACACATAACCTAAATATTTCGAGTAGATATTTTGGTGGATTAGGTGATTAACAAGCAAGAGGAGGGTTAATTAGTCTTACGAAATGAGCCATATCTTATTAAGTCTCAAGAGAAGCCTCAATACAATACACTTTGCTACAAAGCCCTGAGGCCGTTCGTCTAATATTAATGCTACGAGTTGTTACATATGCTATTTGCTAAGAGTGCTAAGTTGTCAACCCTTTACAATGAAATAAATGCTACTATTTATACTATCAACGGGTAGTTGGACACGCTGACGTGGTGGGTTGTGGATGGCTATGATGTCAACCACAAATTCTTCTGCATCAAATGCGCTTCCCGCCAGAATCTTGGTCTCCCGCCAGGAGGCGGAGATGAGCGTCCCCAATGATCTTGCATCATGTGTCATGCTGGTCCCAAGGTTCTAATTCCCGAGCATCTTGCATTGCCTCCTCGGCCAAGATGCGAAGCTATTATCTGGATACGTGCGTCATCTTCTGACAGATGCCCCTCGGGCCGTGGCCACTTTTCCAACGTGGGCTTGTACTCTATGGCCGGGCGTCTTTACTGGGCACAAACCTCGCCACTACCTTGGGCTGTTTGATGATAGGTGCCAATATGGGCTGGGTTCGGGGGACGAACATCCGATGGACCTCGAGGGGGTAATGGGCCGATCCCTGGTTGGGCCATTTATCTAACAATAATAACAACAATAAAAATAACAAAAACAATAATAATAACAATAACAATAACTTATACTCCCTCCATCCCAATTTACTTAGCCATCTTTGACTTTTCCAGTCAAAGATGGTAAACTTTGACCAATTATTTAAACTAATATATTTATGCAAAATTAAATAATTTTATACTTTTATGATATATTTTTAACAAAGAACATTTTCATATCATTTTCATATTATTAATACTTTCTCTATATAAACATATAATCGGTCAAAGTTAGACTCCATTGACTTGAAAAGTCAAGATTGGCTAAGTAAAATGAGACAGAGGGAGTAGATATTAATCTTAGAGAGAAGTGAGAGCTAGAGAGAGAAAGTGAGCAATTAATAATATTTCTCAACCCCCTACAACTACCTCCTTTGGGAGTATTTATAGGGAAAATATGGGTTTGGGTTGTCAAGTCTTGGGTTTGGGAGGCCCAATACGTAATAAGGTATCTGATGGGCTGAGTACATGATTTATTTGAATAAGTATAAGATCTATTGAGTTGGAGTCATTTTGGCCGACTGATGTGAGTTTTCTCGCACTAAAAATATGTAGCAGTATAGGGTATAAGTACGAGTATCGTCTCCACAGGGACGGAATTCAGCGATAAAAATAAATTCAGCGATAAAAATACGTAAAATAAATGCAATTGTGCAAAATTTGAGTTGTTGACGAGCACTTTGTCGTAGTGCGTCAAAATAAATTCGATACTAACACTTATACGTAGTATAGAGAAGTAGAGTTCGTATCCACAGGGAAAGGAATAATTCTGTTTTTATGAACTAGTAAATAAAAGGGGGGTTTTGGGATTGAGCGATTTCATTTAATTAAACACTAATATGAACGACTTATATGAGTTTTAATTCAAAGATAAAAGGGACTTGACTTTGCTACTTTCCCCTTGTTGATATATGTAGTCGATCCTTGTTATATCTATAACTTATCCCCTCTCGAATACTCAACCGAGGAGCATCTCCAATTCATCGAGGGTAGTTATTAACAACGACTGTTCATTAATAACACTTATTGTTTAATCAAATATAGAACAACGCCTTATACCGATTTAATAGTAGCATTTAATCTTTCTAAGTCCTTGATGAAATCAATTGAGATTGATATATAACCTCAACACAACGGGTTCGATTTAACCAACAAAATTAATCACTCTTAAGTTTATTAACCACGATCGTGCATTAATAAACTGAAGTTACTTACTTGTGAAACCATCAATGATTAACCATCGATTCGTTGATCGTTTCTAGTAATAATTAACATTAAGATGTTAACTAATTGTCATCTTAGCAACACTCCCCAACATTAATATAGAGATAGATTAAGGGAAGAATTAATATTCAAGGAGAGAAGTTAAAAAAATAACTCACAACTTTAATAATCAACAAGTTTCAAGAGCAAAACCAGGAAATGGAAGTTTAGCTCCTCATTTGGAGACTAAACATGATAGAAAAGTATAAAGAAATGCTATTCTAAACTGAGTTTAAGAGTATATGTGAATCAGTGATCAAATGGGAAGGAAAAGGAGTGTATTTAATTATAGGTGTTTGGAGGTGGCAGGGTCATTTACCCGATTGGGTTTTTCAGAAACCCGATCGGGTTTCCTGAGTAATTGCCCGGAATCTTCATTAATCACATCTACCCGATCGGGTTTTTGATTTACCCGATCAGGTAAAAGAAAAATCTTTGCTAAATCTTCGCCATGCACGTTTAATTGCCTCCAAATCAGATTTGATCTTTGGGTCAAGTCAAACCCGATCGGGTTTTCTAAAAACCCGATCGGGTTTTTGACTATTTCCCCAAATTTTCACTTTCTCTTGTTCCCATGCACTTTCCTTGACCTATCCAGGATCCTTTTGATGATCTTTACCTAGTTTAAGTTCAGAAAATCCCTAATCTATACAAATTACAAACAACTAAGAAAAATAAAGTATTACACCAAAAGTGTGTAATTTCCCAAACAACAACAAATAAAACTAGTTAAAATTACAAACATAAACAATGACAATTCTATACTATCAAAATCTCCCCTACTTAATTCATTACTCGTCCTCGAGTAAAAGACAACATGGCAGCTCACAATCCATTGAATAGATAAATTCAAAGGAATAAAATGTTCTGTTTGTTCATCCATCCTCAAAATACAAAGAAAAGAGGGTCTTCATGATCTTCAAGAACAAATGTTCTTTT